GGGGGGATGCTGTGCAAGTGCACGCCTGTCGGGGGGATGCTGTGCAAGTGCACGCCTGTCGGGTGGATGCTGTGCAGGGTGCACCCCTGTCGGAGGAGGAGCTGTGCAGAGTGCACGCCTGTCGGGAGGGAGGGGCTGTGCAGGGTGCACGCCTGTCGGGGGGATGCTGTGCAGGGTGCACACCTGTCGGGGGAGGGGCTGTGCAGAGTGCACACCTGTGTGTCTAGTGGTGTCTCTCTTTCTAGCCTCAGCGACTGCTCAGAGCCGCCGGTTCCCCTCTAATGAGTAGCTGCAATAATATTCTCCTGCCATAATGTTGATCGAGTGCTTTGTAATAACTCTGATCAATGTTTCATGGCCATCCCCCCGCCCTCCCGGGGGAGCCAGCCCTGTAAATGTCAGGGCAGGCAGAGAGCACTTGGCATTTTGCTGCGACACTGGTAGTGGCAGGGGAAGCTCCGGCAGCCGCTGGCAGGTCTGGCTGCGGATTAGCTGCTCCTGGTGAATGGCCGGCTCAGCAGGATGGGAGAGATGAATGAGCCTCTTGAGCCGTGTCTGTCTAAACATGGGGTCATTGAAGCGTTAAACATTTTCTCTTGTATTTTAATTGATGCGTCTGCTAGCGGCTCCCAGCGTCTGGCTCACGTTCCCTCGCCGAGGCAGGGCCAGTTCACTCGGCCAGGCAAGTTCTCGCTGCTCCGGCCGGCCCCAGCCCTGCCTGGAAACCTCGCCTCTGCCACACACACCCCCTCCATCCCAGGGCCCCTCGGCTGTCCCCTGGATCCACGGAATGCGCTGCCCTCTCCTTCGCCATGGGCTGGCGGAGCCGGCTGCTGGGGGCTGGCAGGGGCCAGGGACACAGAGTCTGAGGGCGGAGGTGTGATGAGGTGGCCTGGGAACACCCTATGCTGCCCCGTACAGTCAGTCAGGGGCTGTATTCCAAGCGCAAACCGCAGTTTGTTCTCAGCCCAGCCCACCCTGAAGCTCCATCCTTCACGTTTGGTATCTGACCCCATGCCTCTTCCCCACAGGCGGCCTCCCAGGTGCTGCGCTCTGAGTACAAGGTCAGCATCCCGCAGTGCAAGCCGCTCTCGCCAGGCGAGATCCTGGGCTGCACCTCTCCCCGCCTGGGGCCGGACACAGACGCCGTTGTGTATGTACTAGGGTTTATATAGCTCTGCTTCCTTGCAAACACTTCAACGATGAGTATTTTTAAGTCCTCTAGTTCAGGCGATACAAAACCTGTGCCTGGAGCAGGCCTCTCCCCCAATTTGTACAGCCCCATGCGTGTCCAGGAGCTATGGAAACCTCGGGAGAGCCTGGGGTTCCCTGCGCTCCAGGTGCCAGGGGGGTGGGAATCTGGCAGAGCTGGGTCCCTGTGCTCCAGACCTGGGGGAGACAGGACCCACCTGGCAGGCTCTGCACAGAGTGGCTTGTGCTTGTAACGCAGAAGGAATAATTGAGTCGTAGATCAGACTAGATAATAGATGGAAAGGCGGGCAGATAATTGGAGAAGACGAATGGCTGGGCCCCAACATCACAGCACCATTAATTTTATTTAAGGACAGCAAATTAGAGGGAGCACTTCGCTTCCTATCACCTAATTATTTTAGGTAATGGAAATGCTTAATGTACTGTGAATACAGTGAGCTGCAGAATAAATAAATAAACGACCCCACCCCAGGGGGAGCCCAGGCAGAGCTGTGCTGGCCGTGCCCTCAGTGGCAATCCGTGTGTGGGGCAGGCAACCCACAGCTCATGCTGCCCCTTGAGCCCGCCTGGGAGCTTGAAGTGGGACGGGATGGTACCCACCCCCTTGGGTTAGCACGCGCAGCGACTGAACGGCCTGTGTTGGGATCGCTGGCCCGTAATGCGGGGAGGGGGAGGGCTGGGGTGACTCTTGGGGTGTAGCCGGGGGCCTGTTCCCGGAGGCCAGCTTGGCGTGTCTCACCCCAGGCCACAGGCGGATGCTGGCCCGTCCGTGCACGGCGCGTGGGATCCTGCTGACCACGCAGGGCTGTGGGGAGGGGAGGACCCCTCACACACACCCCGTCCTTCCACACTGCTCTCTGGCAGGAGCCCAAGCTGGGCATGCTGCTCTTCCCTGGTCAAGTTCACCTCTGGCAGGCCCCAGCCTCCCTTCCTCCTGCCCGGCCTGGGCTCCAGGCTCCGCTCTGCGCTGCTCCTCTCTCCCCAAAGCCTCGGGAGCGCCTGGTGCCCGTGCTTGAATCTAACGCCTCAGAGCCAGCACAGAGCCATTAGATGTCTTCTCCAGGCCTCCTGTGACTGAGTGACGGCCCCTCCGACTCGCTGTGCTGCAGCTGCCCCGAGTCCAGGCTGGCCGGCTCTGGGCACGTTGCACTAGGGTGGCACAGCGGGGGCGGCTCTGGTGGGTGCTGTAGACAGCGTGGTGAGCAGCACACAGGAACTGCCAGCACCACCCAGAGGGGCTTCCTCTATCCCAGTCACCGGCTCCAAAGGAGGCAACAAGAACCACACATACACCCCAGGGAACAACTGAAGAGTGGCGTGGCCACGTGGTCTGGGGTGGGACACGCACGATTGGCTTCATTTCCTGAAGAGGGCTTGGCCTGGGAAAGTCTGGGGCACGTTGCTTAAGGGGGTGTCCCCCACGCCTCCTCAGCCAATGGGCATCTCAGGCCCTGGCTCGAGGGCTCGGAGCTGTCCAGTAAATCCTCATTCTGCCTAAAGGAACTAGCCATGTAAATGCCTGATGCCTACCGCAGTCCTGAGGAGCTCCTGCCCCAGTCATGTCTTGTGGCAGTGAGTTCTGCAGGTTAATCGTGGGTTTCCTTCGATCAGTATTAAATGTGTTGCCTTCTAGTTTCCCGCCCTCCCACCCTTTCAGGGAGGGGGATTCAGGCTCCACACCATGTTCATGTAGATCAGGGCTTTTCAAGGCCAACCCCGTTCCCTGGCCCTGCCCTCTCCTAGTGCTGGAGAGAAACTCCAGTGGCTGCAGCTTCTGGGCTCCTGTTCCATTGCAGATGTGGGTGTCCAGCTGCTGCAGGTGAGTCCCAGCTGTGGCACTGGCTGTTGTACCTGCGCGACTCCACAGGCTCCTGTCTGAGTTGTTATTTTCTTATTTAGCCCCGTCTCTGGGGCTAACTTTTCCAGACAAATTAGCTTTGATCTTCCAAAATGTCATTCTCCAATTAAGGGCAAAATCTAGTCAAGTTTTACGTCTGAATTCATTTTCCAAGCCCTCACTCCATTAGGGCAGCTGAATGAAAGGCTTTGAAATGTAATTGCTGACTTGAAATCTGATTAGAAATGGAAGCAGAAATGTCTCTAACCAGACGTAACTACTGAGCAGCTCTGAGGCTGCACATTGACTCACCCTCTCTGCCCCAGTCCAGCAGCAGGAATCCATTTTTGGGTGGAGAATGGATGCCTCTCCTGGCTCCAGCAGGGGGCGCTCACCCAGGCAGCGGTGGTGGAGTGCGCTGGCCGGGGGGCAGGGAGAGCCCCAGGTGGAGTGGTAGGAATGGAAATTGCGTTGTTTAAAATACGCTCCTGACTCATTTCCCTACCTGTGGTACCCAGGAGACGGGTCCGTGTCCAGGGCTGCAGTCTCACTTGTGCCCAGGTGCCACTGCATCAGTGGGGCCAGCAGGGGCACATTTTGAAGTGCCCAGGCGGCCGCTGGGAGTACAGGGGGGGCAGCTTAGCATGGCTGGGTTCTGCTCCATATGGAGGTCTGGTCTACACTTAAAACTTAGGTCAACATAGCTACCTCACTCAGGGCTGTGAAGAATCTACACCCCGGGGACCTAAGCCCCAGTGTGGACGCGTCCAGCGAGCTGGCTGCCAGCGCACAGAAAGGGGGTGTTCCTACAGCAATAGAAACCCCCCTGCCATTGGTTTAGGCTGCGTCTACACTCCGGGCTTACAGCACCAGCTATGCTGGCCTGGCCCCTGGAACCTAGCTATGGGCTGGGCCAGGAGTGGTGAGGAGGGCCAGCCCCATTGCTGTGCAGGTGGGTGTGTTACACATGGAGAGGCCTGGCACAGTCACAGCAAACCGTTCCCCACCAGTGGAAGCAGGCGCAAAGCCCTGACCTTAACGCGGGGATCCCAGAGCCACATCCGCGAGTTCTTTCACTGTCTGCATGTGATGCTGTTAAAGCAAAGGAGGCAGCAGAGATCTGCCTGCCTGCCGCTAGCAGCCCAGTGTGTTCAGCCCAGAACGGCTCATGTGATGCTCCTCATCCTGCTCGCTCCCGGGCTGTTTGAGCTCCACTTATAAGTCAGACAAACGAGGGTGGCCTGCCCTGCTGTGTGAGTGCAGGATGCGTGCCAGGCAGAGCGGTCCCATCCCCGCCAGCTGCGTGCACGGGGGCAGGTTTCTCTCACTGTTTGCCAGCATGAGCTGGTTCTCCCCTGCCCACTGGCGCTGACTGGTCCCCATATGGCCTCACAGGCTTTGTTTGCAAGTCCCAGAGTGCAGGGCTGCTTGAACCCAGCCCTTAGTCGGTTGCTTTGCCTGCTCTGTGCCTGTGGTGCTCAGCGCGGGCCGGTAGGGGCTCCTGCACCCAGCGCTGAGATGCAGCAGCAGCCACCAGGCAGTCAGAACGGGCCTGAACCAAACGTCCCCAGCTCTGGGTCTGTGCTCTGGAGTCAGCTGGGTCCTGAGCAGCGTGGCAGCGTCCCTGAGCTCTTCTCTCCCTGCTGCAGGTACCTGGGGGATGGGCGCTTCCACCTGGAATCTGTCATGATTGCCAACCCCGGAGTTCCCGCCTACAGGTACTGGAGCCAGCCAGGCTGCAGGGGTCACCAACATTCACACTGGGGGCATTGCTGGGGAGTGGATATGGGATTTCCTGGCATGGGCATAGTCAGACTGTCTGTGGATACCTCCCCTCCCATTTCTGGCTGAGCATCCCGCCTCCTTCCCCTGGCTGTCGCTCAGACCCAGCTCCCCTCCCATTGGCTTTTGCCTGGCCCTCCTTTGCCCCCCCCCCCACCATGGGAGTCCATGACAGGGATGCTGGGAAGTGTTTAATGTTTGTTTAGCTTTTTAATACAATTTGCTGCCAGAGCTGAGGTGGGGAAGCCGGCAGCCAGCGCTCTGCAAACCACCACTGGTCCAGGTGCAGCGTGGCTGGACGAGGAGAGAGGCGGTGGGGTCAAAACTTGCCTACCAAGAGCAGACCCTGTTAATGGGCTTCTCAGGCTCTGTCTCCACTACAGGTTATGTCGTATAACCCCTCCCCCCCCCGAGCGACATACATTACACTGACATGAGCGATTGTGTGCACCGCGCAATGCCGGCAGGAGAGCTCCCGCCAGCACAGCTTCTGCCGCTCGCGGGGGTGGTTTTATTACGCCAACGGGACACAGAGCGTCGGCATAGAGCGTCTTCACCAGACGCGCTGCAGCGGCCAGCTGTGCCGGCCCAGCCTCCCGCTGCTGCGCTGGACAGGCAGACATGGCCTCAGCCAACTGTTGCTCCTGGAGCAGAACCAGGCCCCGGGCCTTCACTCTGCAGGTCCCAGCAGCCCGGTCTGGCCTCCTACGGGGTGTTGGGCACTCAGGCGGACGTGGCTGGCAGCGGAGTCGTGTGGGGGAGCCCTCACGGAGCAATCACAAGCGGCTCCCGGGCTGAGGGAGAGGTGCAGAGGGGAGTCGGGCTTGATGAGATGAACACCAGCCATTTACTCGGGCTGAATATAAACATTTTGACAAGTACCTGTGAAAGCTCTTTGAGGTGCAGCCATTAAACTCCCTGGCTGCTGCAGGCAGAGGCCATAAAATGTGATGATGAGGCTGCTGAAAGCAGATGAAATATCAGGAGCAAAAGGCTGGCCCATTTTGTGAAATCTGAATTTCTTAGTAGGTCGTTTGTTACTAACGGGAGACGCACGTCAGGTTTATGGGGCTGGGGAAGCTGCTGCAGCCCAAGTGGGATTTGATTAAAATTCTCTTCGTCAAACAAAGCAACAAATCAAAGATTTCTTCATAATTGATGAGGGGGAAGAATGACAGAGCAGGAGAGCGAGTGGCCCGGCCTGTGTGCATTGCAGCCTTTGGCAGGGCTGAAGCCAGGGGCCGGGCCAAGAGGAGCCGGATCTCTGTTCACGCACGCCCTGCTCTGCCCTGCGTTGGGAGCTGACCAGAGCGCCTCGGGCCACGGGCTGGGAACGTTCTCTAGTGACCCATTCCCACAGCGTCTGGACTGACTCCCCCTCTAATGCGGGTGGTAGGAAGGGCTCAGTCTTACACCACCGGGCCTGCTGGGTCCAATGGACCGTCCAGGCTCCCGTACCTGGGCCGGGCCAGAGGGCATTTCACCCATACGGTCCTCGCCTGGCAGGGAGAGGCTGGCACTGACGGATCAGCCTGAGGTGGCTGCCGCAGGGCCAGGGACCCCAGGAGAACAAAAGTCAGAGGAGCCGTCAGCCCCTCCTGGAGCGGAGAGGGGGGTTTGGCAGGCCTGTGGGTCAGTGCTGCCCCCCATGGGTGTGGAGGCGGGGCAGTTAGCTGGTCCCCTCTCCTCCCAGCGTGCGGTCAGAGGGGAGCCCAGTGACCTGTGACTGACAGGAATGGCCGTGGTTTGGAGCTGCCTGCAGAGAGCTCATCCCAGAGCAGCGAGGGAACCTGTGCTTGTGTCCAGGCCCCTCCCTGACGGAACAGGGGGTCAGCCCCCCTCCTTCCCTCCCACGGGGAGAGACAGCCCCCTCCCCCAATGTTGTGTCAGTTGTGGGCAGCTGAGAGTGCAGCGCCCTGGAGGTCCCGATCCCCCCCAGGGTCTGACTCTAGGGAGGGGCCAAACTGCTGGGCACTGCCAGCTGTGCTGCCCTCAGCTCTGTCTTCTGCGCAGGTACGACCCCTACAGCAAAGTCTTCTCCAGGGAGCACTACGCCCACGAGCGCATGCAGCATGCCCGGCAGGAGGCCATCCGCACCGCCGCCCGCGCCCGGAGCTGGGGACTCATTCTCGGGACCCTGGGGCGCCAGGGCTCCACCTCCATCTTGCAGGTACCTCCAGAGATGTGTCTGTCCCGCAGCTGGCTTGGCTTGGAGATCAGGCTCCTCCCAGCCCTGCTCTGTGGAGCCAGATCCACCGAAGGGCTTTGCTGCGCCCCAGGAGCAGGAAAGAGAAACTGGCTTTTTCTCAGAATCCATCCTCCCTTCCGGGACCTGCTGCTGCCCCCTCTTCCCTGCCGTCCAGGAGCCACCTCGGCCCCACTCAGGACCACGTGTTGGGGTCTGCAGCACTCCCCCCCGCGCCCCGCTGCTGCCCTGGCACTTGCCCGGTTGTGCCTCCTGCGTGGCTGGCGTGAGCGGCTGCCCATCATCCCCCTGGCCTCACTGTGCAGTGGGGCAGGGAGGGGATCTCGCCTGGCCAGTGACTCACCTCATGGCCCTGGCTCATGCCCATTGATCGCCATCGACCAGGATTTCTACAGCTCGGGAGCAGAGCTGGCAGGACAATTAGCAGGAGATGAGAGGGAGCCAGGGCCGAGGCCCCTCGCAGGAGAGAGCCGGCCCCGCGAGCCCCGCGCTGGCCGCACAGCAATTAATTCTCAGCTATTTTTAGTTTAGTGACGTGAACTTGGGATTGGTTTTGCTTCCCCTGTCCTGGCCCAGTGCCAAGGGCCGGGCGGGGTTGGGGCTCTGCAGTGCCGCCTCCTTGCTGAGTTCCAGGCATGGCAGCAGCTCCAAGGCTGGGACTCCACCTCCTGCCCCGTCTTGGCCTGATCCTTTTCCCACTGGCCCTGCCCGACGCGTCCCAGGGCTAGCGCAGGACAGCACGGAGCTGCTCCGCAGCTGGCTAAGGCCACGGTGATGTGATGGGAGAGAGGCACCTGCTGTGTCCCTGGGTGCCCCCGCCCCACATCCCACCGTGCAGCCTGGGGTCACGCCCAGAGCGCCCCCCCCAGTACTTCCATCACACGAGTGAACCCCCCCAACTTGTCTCCCGAGTCCAAGTCACAAAACCGCCCCCAGCGAGCAGGCAACTCGTGGGGCGGGGGGAGCTGCAGGGCTAGAATAACGGGGTGCTGGGGTCAGAGGGGAGGTGCATCAGGACTGGGGGGGGCAGCGCTGAAGTGGCTGGGGGAATGGAGCTGGGGGTGTCACGGAGTCCCCGGGCGATGCTCTGGAACTGCTCCCCACAAAGCCAGTCAGGACTTTGGGGAGCCTCCTCTCCCTTGGAGCAGACTGTCTTCAGGGCAAGAATCTCACAGGGCTTCACCTCCCGGGTCAGACCTTGGAGCATTTATCATATGCCCCTCCATGCGCTTCCCACAGCGAGTCCGCCCCGGCGGGGTCCTGGGGAGCCAAAGGGTCCTGCACCCCACTTCACAGTCAGACGTGACTCTCAGCCAGCCAGTAAAACAGAGATTTATTAGATGACAGGAATACGGTCAAAAACAGAGCTTGTAGGTACAAAGAACCAGACCCCTCAGCCGGATCCATTCTGGGGTCCCACAAGCCAGACACCCCTGTCTGCCCTCACCTCCCATCCCCAGCCAGCTCCAAAATGAAACTCTCCAGCCCCTCCTTTCTGGCCTTTGTCTCTTTCCCCGGGCCAGGAAGTCACCTGATCTCTTTGTTCACCTTTAGCTATCCCCTTGCAAGGGGGGAAGGGCCCTGGCCATTTGTTGCTAGGAGACAGATGGTCAGCCATTTATGCACACTGGAGACTTAAGAAATACATAGGGGAAACTGAGGCACCCACACAGTATTCAGAGGAAACATTAAGAACAGTCCCACTTCGTCACAGGGGGTGCTCTGGGTCAGGGGGCGGGGCTCAAGGCTGGGGTATGGGGGCTGCGTCTGGGGCAGGGGGCAGGGCCCAGGGCTGGCAGGAGGGTGCTCTGGGGCAGGGCACAGGGCTGACATGGGGGTGCTCTGGGTTGGGGGGCAGGGCCCAGGGCTGACATGGCGGTGATATGATAAATGGGGCATATGATAAATGCTCCAAGGTCTGACCCGGGAGGTGAAGCCCTGTGAGATTCTTGCCCTGAAGACAGTCTGCTCCAAGGGAGAGGAGGTGCTCTGACATGGGGGTGCTCTGGGTCAGGGGGCAGGGCCCAGGGCGGACATGGCGGTGCTCTGGGGCAGGGCCCAGGGCTGGTATGGGGGCGCTCTGGGGCAGGGGGCAGGCCCCAGGGCTGGTATGGGGGTGCACTGGGTCGGGGGGCAGGGCACTGGCAGTGCTGCAGGCTTCGCTGGCCCTTCAGCTGCCGATGCCAGGGAGAGCAGACTGGGGCCTGCGGGAGCTCGGGCTCTCACGGGTCAAGACAGAGGATGATGCTGCCTGCGGCTTAGAATCAGAGACTCAGGGTTGGAAGAGACCTCAGGAGGGATCTAGTCCCACCCCCTGCTCAAAGCAGAACCAACCCCAACTAACTCATCCCTTCTCCCTGGCTGCTGTGGCAAAGGCCGTGATGGCCAGAAGGCAGGACAGAGGCCGAATGACCAGCGATGGCTGGGCCAGGATGGAGGGGAGCCCTCCCAGCCCCTGCTGCAGGCAGCCGAGGAGAAGGCTGCTGCTAACGAGAACAGATTGTTGTCATTGAACAGTAATTACTTCATTAGGCTCAGCTGCGAGTGTTGAGGGTGGAGCTGAGCGAAGCTGCTGTTTGGGGCTGATAGGGTCTGGGCTCCAGCTGCTTGGCTGACGGAGCTGCACCCCAGTGTCCCCCATGTGCTGTGTGGGGGCTGTCCCAAGGAACTGACAGGCCTGCAGAGAGGCCAGGGACTGGGTGGGCTCTGGGGAAGAGCCCCTGGGAGGGGCAGTGAGGGTGGGGGAGCTTGTCCTGCTGCTGCGTGGGCTGGGTAGAGAGAAGCCCCCTCGATGGGGCTCAGGTGGGACTGCTCCAGCCTCCTGTCTAATGGGCCCCATCCCATCCCCCAGTAGCTCTCCCTGCTGTAGCAGTGATGGCTGGAGGGACTGGGGGCTTCCGGAGCCTTATGGTATGGATTACCCCACCCCATCCCAGGGGTCAGGCCCCCACGCTCCTGAGGCCCTTCCCGGTTGTACTGGGCAGCCCCTCCCCTGCTCATCGCCCCCCCTTTGCTCTGGCAGAGCCTTGCCCAGAGAATGACACGTTCCCTGCCCACCTGACAGGCATTGCCAAGCTGGGGCTTGCCTAATGCTCCCTATGTCTCGTTCCCCACAGCACCTGGAGGGGCGGCTCCAAGCCCTCGGCCTCCCATTCGTCAGGGTGCTGCTCTCGGAGATCTTCCCCAGCAAGCTGCAGCTGTTCCCCGACGTGGACGCGTGAGTGTGGGCCTTGCTCTGCCCTGTCCCCCCTGCGCCCTGTTCCCCTGGATCCTGTCTCACCTGGCCTCCTCCCACAGCCGCCATCACAGTCTCTGCGCCGTCCCAGGTGATCCCTCGCTCCCCCCTCCCTGCTGGACCCTGCTCTCTGGTGAGAGTGACCCCTCCTCAGCCCCGAGCCCTGGCCTGTCTCCTCTGCTGCGGAGGAGGAGAATAACCCTGCAACCGCTCTTCCCAAGGCAGGTCCCAGTCTGCCCCTCTGCATGGGGGGAGGCGGGCCCGGGCTGGAGTCCTCGCGCAGGTGCACACGTGTAGGAGGCGCCGTCCTTTGCGTGTGCCAGATGTCCAGTTCATTCCCCCATCCAGTATATGGGGCTGGCTGGGCAGACCCCTGGTGCCAGTGTGAACGCCAGCCTGGCGCTGCCCCTCTGCACATGGGTGGTTGGGCGTGATGGTCTCGTACGAGGCCCCTGTGGCCTCCTGAGGCACTTGCTGTGTCAGTGGCACATGGGCCCATCTCCCTTTGGGAGCTCGGAGGCAGGCGCACTCTGCTGTGGGGCCCTCAGGGACTGGGAATGGGCTGAATTTAAATCCAGTCTCGTTACTGTACGAGCAGGAGTCTCTCCCAGGGGGCCATGGGGCAGGGACACGGCCCGGTGATTTCATTAGGGTGCTGGAGCACCGAGGCCTTTGTCTCTACGCAGGATGTTGGAGCGTCGCTCCCTAGTGTCCAAGCACAGGTGCTGTGTCAGCAGAGCCGGCCCTAGGCATGAGCAGGCCAAACAATTGCTCAGGGCCCCGACCAGCTTCTTATGATGTGTTGTGGGGACCCCCAATGGGCCTGCACCTCCTGTCTGTCAGTGCCCCCCACACTCCCCCAGTGCCGCCCCAGCCGTGGGAGGGGGGCGCAGGCCCCATGGAAACGCTCTGGTTAGTGTCAGCAGAGAGCTCAGCTCTGGCCGCTGGAGACTCCTGGTCAGTGGCTTGGGGGGCTGCGGCATAGAGCCTGAGCAGGAAGCCACAAGGCCCCACCCTCCCCAGGCGGGTCCAGCTGCCCGCCCCCCCCCCCCATCCCCTGCAGCCGTGGTGCTGAGTGGCAAGGTACCAAGCATGTGCTCCAGTGTGGGTCCCCCCGCCCTGGTAGCTGGGGGCAGGAGCCAGTTTGGAGATGCCTGGCTGGGGTCAGAGGGGTGACCCCCAGGGGACTCAAGCAGGCCCCCCAGCTCTGGGATCCCATGTGGCCACGAGCCCCTCCCTGTGCCCTAGTTCAGCAAGACGTGTCCATGTGGAGCCGCCCGCCCGCTGTGCTCTGTGGGGCAGGCTCTGCATTCGCCTGTCCTCCCAGGGGTCCTCTTCGCTGCATCGCTATTCTCCAGGGCTCGTCCGGGCGCTGTCCTGCGTCCCCTCCCATCCTCTCCTATGCGAGTGTCTGCAGAGCCGTCCCGCAGAAGCGGGTCACCCCCTTTCTCCTGGCTGTGGGCCCCCACTGCCCAGTGAGAGGTGCCTGCAGATCTCCCTCCCTTGCTGCGGGAGTGGTTCGGGGGGTGGCCCCCAGGCCGTGTTCCCCTGTGCTCGGGAAGTAGCATCTCCCAGCCCTGCATGTTTGACCCTGGGCTCTGAAATATTCCCCGGTGCCAGGGCTGCGTCGTGCGATGCTCTCGCTCGGCTGGACTCAGCTAAACATGATGGAGAGCAGGACAGATCCCTGGTGACGGGGTGTGACGAACTGGGCCTGTTCTCACTGTGGTCTGTGAGTGCTGACAGGGGAGTGTGGCTGGGATAGTCTGCATTG